AAACCCCCCCCCCCCCCCCCCCCCCCCCTCAAAAAAAAAACCTCGAAAAGCTGAAGAGATTTTTTTTATTCAAAGATAGGTGCCATTAATTTTTTTTTTTGCTTTGCGGATAAATTATTAACATGATTTTATATAATATGTACTTTTGCATTGAAAAAAATGATAGCGGTTTTTTTTAGGTATCAGCAATAATTGACGTGGATATTGTCCCGGAGGCACATCGCCGTGTTCGTTTATGTAAACATGGAAGTGATCGTCCACTGGGATTTTATATCCGAGATGGTAAAGTTTCCGGCCCCTTCTTACTGTTTTCTTCACATGGCCTTTTAGGCCCATACTGCCTTTTGTTTTATCATTAAGACAATAGGTAATAATTGATTGGGCATTTTTAATGCTACAGCTTTTAGGCCCTCTCCTTTGCTGTAACAGGATGTATTAGCCCCGTGGAAAATAGAGGAATAGAAGGATTTCACTTGTATGTCATGTGTATGAAGACATGATGCAACCTGTGTTTCATCCCTTAGCTGTATAAACAAACCGAACAGTGCATGTGGGTAGGAGTGGAAATCATCAGTACAGCCTCCTACCCGCCCTCTTTTGAATAGTTTTGTATACAACGTAACTAATTTTAATATTTTTCGGAGAGACAATCTCATCGGTCTGTTTCAGGGACATCAGTACGAGTGACACCACAGGGTGTAATGAAAGTGCAGGGAATCTTCATAAGCCGTCTTGTTGAAGGCGGCCTGGCCGAATCAACGGGCCTATTAGCTGTAAATGACGAAGTATTGGAAGTTAATGGCATCGAGGTTATCAGCATTTTTGTTTATTTTGTAAGAAATAAAGTGCCCCATCGTAAAACCTGTTCAAAGCACCGGAGTCGATGAGTGCCAGCTGAAGACGTGCAACTGAGAATGAAAGGGCCCAGCATGATTGCTCCTCGGTCTAAAAATGAGCTTTAGCGATAGCAAAACTCCATGATCGATGGTTCAGCTGTGGTACCACCTGCCCTGGAAATGTGGAGGTAGTGCTGGAATGTGGCAACATTTGCTACAATGATGGTCAGAACAGTTGTAATTCATAACCTGCTAGCTCTTCTAATTTATTTGACCAGCGCCGGGTCATCTAATGGCCGGTCTGCTACTTTTTGCATAATTCCAAAATGGGAGGGGGGCTGTTCTCTCCATTGCTCCTCCCCTCAAGAAAGCCACTCTCTTCTCCCGCTCCCAACCGTTCGCCGCCGCAGGGATCCGCCTATGCTTACTTTATATTTCTGTGATATATTCAGATGAACTCAGCACAACATAGCAAAATAATTGCATTTGGTTAAAGGCTACTTCTTGATGTGATTTTCAGAAACTTTTCGGGGTTAAAATTTGCACTTTTTGTCTCGTTCGATTTGCAAAAAGTTATGAGGTTGTAAGATTTAAGGGCAATTAAGAACTGTGATTCTTAGTCAAATTAGAACCAATTTTTTCCCCTTTTATAATTTCACCTACATTGTGATTGCCGTTACCATCTCCTTACGATATTTGGTATATATATTTTGCTTCTATTTTAGGTGCAGGGTAAAACGCTGGATCAGGTAACAGATATGATGGTGGCAAATGCTCAGAATCTGATTATTACGGTGAAACCAGCGAATCAACGAAATACACTGCAACGTGGCACGCAATCGCGTACTTCGGACTGGAGTGGCGTCTCCGATGATACGGTTATGGCGCCAGGGCGAGAAAATAACAATGATATTTATGGCGCAAATGGGTAAATTTCGTTTTCGCTTCGGCTTCTTTCTGTCCTCTTTCTCTTTTCCTTTCCTTTTCTATTAAGCACTGCGACCGTCATACTGATTGACAAGGCTCTGTCGTGGTGTTGAGCTAAGATGTATATGACTTAATGGACCGAAATGTCTTATCTCACTCTTACCTTCTTCTCTCATATTGTAATCTATCGCACCTTCATCATTTAGGTTTCTAGGATCAACCTGGTTGCTACATTCGGCTTACAAATATAATGATCATTTATTCGTTGACAAACTATTGTTGTTTTATCGCTTTTAGTCCATGAAATTGATGCCTGTCATCGTAGTTTTCAAGAGGGGACGATCGGACATGAAATGCTGTTTAACACACACCACTGATGTCTCGAAACAGCTAAAGCCTTGCCAAGAGTTTTTGCCCAGAGAACCATTAAGTTGGTAATCCCTCAGATGCCAAAATCAGTCCCAGGATGGCCAAAAGTTTGATCGTCAGATGATGCAATATTGATCAGAGCAACTGGAAAAGCTGATAGCTGCCTAGTAGGGAAAAAAGGCTGTAAATCAACGAATGTTCATCTCAAGTGTAGTTACATCACATTGTGCAGTCGACGTGCCTAGCTATTTTTTTTCGTTGGTCCAGCAACAGTCCAGATATGCCGGAACATTCCAATTCAGTTTTTACTTCCTTTTAATTATTACTTCTTTTTTTAGTTACAACCTTTTTCATAACTTCATGAAATATTCAAATAATAGACCAACAGGATTGTACGCAGGCGTCATGTGTAAGGTGGTATTTTATGGTGCAAACTGCCTTTACCCTTTGGACGTAGTAGGGTGATATTTTACGATGCAGTCTGTGCTTCATCCCTTAGCTGTAAACACGGACCAGACTATGAAATATGCAAATAAGTTGACACCCGTCAGAATCTTGAGTGTTGTGGCCGTTTCACTATCGAATCATAGGGCATCACCTGGTGGCTCGCCCTCCACTGGTCACTTGGTTTTTGCCCCGGGAAAATTGCTCTGTGTATTTTGTATCTACGCAACTTGCGGTTTTTCACAACGAAAGAATTGGGCTAAAAGGTGTTTTTTGTAAATTTTCGTTAAAAAAAAAATGATTCTGTGTTTTTTTCTTTTTCACTGACTCATACCTGTACAGCCAATACTTTTTCACAACGGGAGAGGAGAGCTAAAAGGTGTTTTTTGCGAATTTTCGTTGAAAAAAAAAAGTGATTCTATGTTTTTTTTTTTTTT